GACTTTCAGCAAATCTGTTCCCAAGTTTCTAATAATAAGAATTAAACTTGAATGACCAATAAGTATGTCAATTTAAAATGGTGACCAAAAACTCTAAAGGTCGTACTAGTCTTAACTAATGGAGGAAGACCTCTGGTGCCCCTTAGTTAATTATGTCATGCCCAAGTACACATCAACACAGGAAGTTATAGGTCATATGTGACTTTCTAGCTTTTCTAATGAAGGAAGACTTTAAATGCCCTAAAATTTATTATTTCAGACACAGGCAGGCACCCAATAACAAATTAACCCTCCACAAGTTAGCTGACATTAAACACTCCAATCAAAAATGTCTCTGATGGGATTTGAACCTGCAGGGGCTTGAAGTCAGGAACCACAGCCATTCAACAATGGATGCCCCTTGAATGTGATAGTTTTAACTTGCAACAATACTAATTTTTTGACATATGGGAACTTAATATTTCTTCATTTCAGAAATTTTAATAACATTTCTGTAATGAAAAACAAAACTCAATCATCATGGAATCATCTTTGAATCTCACTATTATAATAATTAACAGAGTGATGTTATTTCTCATTCTAAATACCCAGTTCAAATAAGGTGGGTAAAACAAGAGATAGTCTTTTTTGTGAAAAATGAACCAATCAAAATTATACAACAAGAATACAAGTTTTCTTTAAACCTTTACCTGCTGGAACCAACACAGAGCTGGATCAGCTTAAATATCTGTGCAGTTTGACCAGGTTCTATACTGTATCTCAATTTTTGTATTTTGATACTGAAGGCCCTTAAATTATAAGCAGGCACAAATTTGGCAGGTAAAGGCTTAAAATAAAACTAACACAGAGTAAAACACAGACACTTGGGGTTTGGAGCTCAAAACGCCTTTAAAATCCAAATAAAATGCATATTTGTCAATCCAAGCACATGTACTGATCATATATATCAAAAAAACTTAATATAAGACGTTTTGAAAAAAATTCATATTTCAACATCTATAATAATTATTATAGAAAACATACTGACAAATGTTTTATAACACAGAACAATTTAACACAGCACATGAGGTGAACACAGCAATAACATTATACAAAGATAAAACAAACAGGGAGCAGTCTAATGATGAGGTAATACATGTATGAACATAGAGTATAACACAGAGGTAACAGTCACATACATCAAACACATGACATAATGAATGCCAGAGAGATGTTACTGAAGACAAATAGATGACAGGATAGTCTAATATTTTTTGTCCAGCTAGGTCTAACATGTCTAAATATATCCCTTAATTATATGCCTATAGTTATATAGTAGTTCCAGATTAAAATACATTTTCTACTGAAAGAATACATACATATGAATCATCTTCAACATTTTTTATTACTTAAGTTGTGACATGAATGTGTTTTGACATTACATTCTTACACCTATCTAAAACGAAAAAAATAAATCTGGTTTGTTCAGTTGTTTTCTGTAAGCAATTTGCAGAAAGTATTTTAGGTAAACTAAGTGAGTGTGTTGGTCTGGTGGGCAATGCTGCCTTGTTGGGAATACCACTTTACTCAATCACCTTGAGCTGCAAACACCTTGTCTTGTTATAGTCCATTCCTGCACAATTGTAATGCATGTATATACAACAAAAGTACATAAACTTTTACTTTTTGCATGTTAATTTTGTCACCATTAATTTTGTAACTTCTTTTTTTTTCTCAAAACACTTCCATTGAATTCAAATTCTATATACAGACAGCAGTTGTAAGTCACATTTTGTTTTAAAAAATGCAAATATAATGAATTGATAACATATAATAAGTAAAGAGGTAATCTTGAATATGGTTTTCACCTAATTATTGACCACTCTAGCAACAGGTATTAATACAAACATGAGGCAATACAATAAGTCATAACAAGAAACATGGCAATGCCACGAAACCAGGTTTTCAATTGTCACCATTGTAGATAAATATGTTGTATTTGAAATACAAATACAAGCAACAAACAATGTAACTATGTGCAATGTAAAACATGAATAATGTAGGAGGAATTGCCACAGAAGAAGTGTTCAATATATATTCTGTATAAGGAAAAAAAACAAAGGGCCATAATTAGGTAAAAAATTATCCAATCACAAAACCCCGAAAATATGCGCCAGGGCACTTGATGACAAAGCTTCTGTGAAAGTTTGAACAAAATCTGTTGAGAAATGTAGGACGAGTTCAGCACAAAAGAATTTGTTCATTATATATTGAAATTTCTGTATAAGGAAAAAAAACAAAGAGCCATAATTAGGTCAAATATTATCCAATCACAAAACCCGACAATATGTGCCAGGGCACTTGATGACAAAGCTTGTGAAAAAGTTTGGTCAAAATCCGTTGAGAAATGTAGGACGAGTAGCGCACGAATGAAATTGTTCACTATATATTCTATGTATGGTAAAAAAACAAAGGGCCATAATTAGGTCAAATATTATCCAATCACAAAACCCCAACAATATGCCCCAGGGCACTTGATGACAAAGCTTCTGTGAAAGTTTGGTCAAAATCCTTTGAGAAATGTAGGAGGAGTTGCGCACAGAAGAAATTCTTCACTATATATTCTATATAAGGAAAAACTAGAATTGTGTCCAAAGGACACGGATGCCCACACTGACAACATTTATATGGTATATAGTGAAAAAATCGACAAAGGGCCATAATTCTGTTAAATTTGGTCGCAGCAAAAATTCCCTCCTTTACTACCATCTACACATTAAGGTTGTTCATCCTTGGAAGTTTAAGCAAAATCTGCCATCCAGTTTAAGAGTTGCGTTCACAAAATTTCTATATAGTATATAGTGAAAAAATCAACAAAGGGCCATAATTCTGTTAAATTTGGTCGCAGCAAAAATTCCTTCCTTTACTGCCATCTACATATTAAGGTTGTTCATCCCTGGAAGTTTAAGCAAAATCTGCCATCCGGTTTAAGAGGAGTTGCGTTCACAAAATTTCTATTTAGTATATAGTGAAAAAATCAACAAAGGGCCATAATTCTGTTAAATTGAGTCGCAGCAAAAATTCCTTCCTTCACTACCATCTACACATTAAGGTTGTTCATCCCTGGAAGTTTAAGCAAAATCTGCCATCCGGTTTAAGAGGAGTTGCGTTCACGAAATTTCTATATGGTATATAGTGAAAAAATCAACAAAGGGCCATAATTCTGTTAAATTTGGACACAGCAAAAATTCCTTCCTTTACTACCATCTACACATTAAGGTTGTTCATCCCTGGAAGTTTAAGCAAAATCTGCCATCCAGTTTAAGAGGAGTTGCGTTCACAAAATTTCTATATGGTATATAGTGAAACAATCAACAAAGGGCCATAATTCGGTTAAATTTGGTCGCAGCGAAAATTCCTTTGTTTACTACCATCTACACATTAAGGTTGTTTATCCCTGGAAGTTTAAGCAAAATCTGCCATCCGGTTTAAGAGGAGTTGCGTTCACAAAATTTCTACATAGTATATAGTGAAACAATCAACAAAGGGCCATAATTCGGTTAAATTTGGTCGCAGAGAAAATTCCTTCCTTTACTACCATCTACACATTAAGGTTGTTCATCCCTGGAAGTTTAAGCAAAATCTGCCATCCGGTTTAAGAGGAGTTGCGTTCACAAGATTTCGGGACGTACGGACAGACGGACGTACGTACGGACGGACGGACGGACAAGTGCAACGCTATATGCTCCCACTCTGTGGGGGCATAAAAACAAAGGGCCATAATTAGGTCAACTCAAATATTATCCAATCACAAAACCCTGACAATATGCCCCAGGGCACTTGATGACAAAGCTTCTGTGAAAGCTTGGTCAAAATCTGTTGAGAAATGTAGGAGTTGCCACAGAAGAAATTGTTCACTATATATTCTAAATAAGGAAAAAAAACAAAGGGCCATAATTAGGTCAATTATTATCCAATCTCAAAACCCCGACAATATGCGCCAGGGCACTTGATAACAAAGCTTCTGTGGAAGTTTGGTCAAAATCCGTTGAGAAATGTAGAAGGAGTTGCGCACAGAAGAAATTGTTTACACCCGACCGCCCGTCCACCCGCCCGCCGACATACCTCAATCTAATAACCAGTTTTTTCCTTCCGAAAACCTAGTTAATAAAACATTGTTAGAGAATTTAAGGTGTTAATGTTGAATACAAAGAGGAGGACACGCCCACACATATACACACATTTGAGCCGCGTCACGACAAAACCAACATAATGGGTTTGCGACCAGCATGGATCCAGACCAGCCTACGCATCCGCGCAGTCTGATCAGGATCCATTCTGTTCGCTATCAGTTTCTCTACTTGTTATAGGGTTTGTAAGCGAACAGCATGGATCCTGATCAGACTGCGTGGATGCGCAGGCTGGTCTGGATCCATGCTGGTCGCAAACGCATTATGTTGGTTTTGTCGTGACGCGGCTCATTTGATGTTCTGTTTTCAGTCTGGAGTAATGGAGTTAGTAGCATGTTCACTACGGATATTAAATGTCCATAACCAGTTTTACATGAAGCAGATTTAGACGTAAGCTAACATCTACATGTGTAACACAAAATATTCTTGTAATTATTCTTACACTACATGTGTAGTTTGCAAAATACTGATGAAAATTAGAGCACCGTTTAATATAAATATTATGCTATAACAAGTCAACAATTCAGGAAGTATTTATTTAGCAGCAAAACATTTTTTTTAAAACAACAGAAATAAAGTTTAAAAAAAAAAGAAAAATTGGATGCGGTTTCATTTTTTTTTTTTACTTACTTACTTAACTTATACATTTACTAAAATAGTTTTACAACAAAGTTAACATTTTGTATAATTTTGTATAAAATTTTAGTCACTGCTCCTATTTACTTCTTAATTTGATTGGCACTATTACAGTGTATAGCAGAAACTTTGTGTTACACATTTTAGTGAGTTATGTTAGTAAGGCATTAGATTCAATAGGAGTTATTTACTTGCATTTTTGTTTGGCTTCGAGACAGGGGCGGCTTGAATCTGTAGTAAATATATCACAACATAAACTAAACTAACTAAAACAATAACTAATTCAAACAATAATAACATAAAATGGGTTTAAAAACTATGTGAAACTTAAACTTGGCACCCGGGCAAAAAGTTGTCAAAAAACAAGAGGGCCATGATGGCCCTGAAGTCGCTCACCTGTATATAGGCCCCCAGAGCGGGGCCAGTTTAAACCCCAGGGCTTTTACTTGAACAAACTTGGTAGACACCCATTAGAAGATGTTTTATGCTAAACATCTAAGGTCTAGATCATTGAGCTTTTAAAAAAAAAGATTTTTTAAGTTTTAACTATATTCATATAGTTAAAAGCAATGACACCCCTAGGGCGGGGCCAGTTTTGACCCCAGGGCTTTTATTTGAACAAACTTTGAAGACACTCACTAGAAGATGTTTCATGCTTAATATCTAAACTCTAGCTATTTGGGTTTTTTCAAAGAAGATTTTTAAGTTTTTGTTATACACATATAAGGAAAATCAATGTCCCCCGGGGCAGGGCCAATTTTGACCCTAGGGCTTTCATTTGAACAAACTTTGAAGACACTAACTGGAACATGTTTCATGCTTAATATCTTAACTCTAGCTATTTGGGTTTTTTCAAAGAAGATTTTTAAGTTTTTGCTATACACATATAAGGAAAATCTATGACCCCCTGGGGCAGGGCCAATTTTGACCTCAGGGCTTTTATTTGAACAAACTTGGTAGACACTCATTAGAAGATGTTTCATGCAAAATATCTTAGCTCTAGCTCTTTGGGTTCTTTAAAAGAAGATTTTTTTAAAGTTTTTACTATATGCATATAGGGAAAATCAATGACCCCCTGGGGCGGGGCCAATTTTGACCCCAGGGCTTTTATTTGAACATACTTGGTAGACACTCACTAGAAGATGTTTCATGCCAAATATCTTAGCTCTAGCTCTTTGGGTTCTTTAAAAGAAGATTTTTTAAGTTTTTACTATATGCATATAGGGAAAATCAATGACCCCCTGGGGCGGAACCAATTTTGACCCCAGGGCTTTTATTTGAACAAACTTGGTAGACATTCACTAGAAGATGTCTCATGCCAAATATCTAAGCTCTAGCTCTTACAGTTCTTTAAAAGAAGATTTTTTAAGTTTTTACTATATGCATATAGGGAAAATCAATGACCCCCTGGGGCGGGGCCAATTTTGACCCCAGGGCTTTAATTTGAACAAACTTGGTAGACACTCATTAGAAGATGTTTCATGCCTAATATCTAAGCTCTAGCTCTTAGGGTTGTTTAAAAGAAGATATTTAAAGATTTTTCTTTTGGTTGCCATGGCAACCAGAGTTCTGCATGGAATTAAATTCTTTGAACAATTTTTAAAGGTGACCACCAAAGGAACATTCCTGTGAAGTTTGGATGAAATTGGCTCAGTGGTTTATGAGGAGATGTCATTTAAAGCAAAAGTTTACGGACGGACGGACGACGGACGGACGCACGCCGGACGAAAAGCGATCACAAAAGCTCACCCTGTCACTTTGTGACAGGTGCACTAATAATGATAAATAGTGCACAGTGAAAATTAAAATGCACAATAAACAAAATAGAGATAACGCTGTGTACAGAACATAAAGATGGCTCTGTTCAAGTTAATGTGAAGGTGAATGCTGTATAAAAATATATTCTGATTATATATTCAGAAGATGTAAGTGATGGTTCTGCAAAAGCTTGCCCTATGTGATTTTAAAACTTTACCAGGCTGCAAAGATTAACTGAATGCCAGAAACCTATTAAGCATTGTACAACAAAATATCTTCAGTGGAATTATCCATTTCTCAATCTGGACAAAACATTCATAACTAGAAGGGATTTTTGTCACAAAAACAAATGATATGCTATATATACAATGCTGTTGTTGTGCATTTATTTTATATATTTATATGTGGCTTTAGTTAATCAACATGTATAATAATAGTTTAATTAATGATAATATACACACAGTATTGTAAACAGATGTAATTCATTTAAACACCAAGTGTTACATGCAGATACATACATGTATATATATATATATATATGTATAAGGAATATCGTAGTATCCTCATCAGCCATTAGTGTACTGCAGGACTTTCATTGCTCTACTTTTAACTTCCCTAACTTTTGATAGTTACATGTAACTAGCGTCAAAGATTTGGTAAATATAACATAATAATGTCTTACTCAGACAAAACTGTTAAATACATCATGCATATATACATGTACACTTTACATGTTCCAAAATTAAACTATATGAGAATTTAAGACAACCAATAAGGATGGTAGATATATAAAGGGTCACACAATACTACTTGTGAACATAATGATAGTGTTATAAATTAAAAATTAAACTGATGTCTTATTAAAAGCAACTAAATAAAATATTAGTATGAAATAAAGGAAATAAACAGTAAAACAAATGAGCCGCGTCACGACAAAACCAACATAGTGCATTTGCGACCAGCATGGATCCAGACCAATCTGCGCATCAGCGCAGACTGATCAGGATCCATGCTGTTCGCTATCAGTTTCTGTACTTGTAATAGAGTTGGTAAGCGAACAGCATGGATCCTGATCAGACTGCGCGGATGCTCAGACTGGTCTGGATCCATGCTGGTTGCAAACGCACTATGTTGGTTTTGTTGTGACGTGGCTCAAATATAGTTTCAAATATACTGTTTAACTTACCTGAGAAGTTGAGTTTATGGAGGAAATAGATGTCTCCACCAGGACATCTGGTTTGAGAGGAGCTTGGCCTTTCGTTGGTTCTAACAGGGTCAGTCCTGCCGCATACACTGGTACAGGTGCTTTCTTGTGACCTATCAACTGTTAATATACAAATTTTATAATGTTTAATACATAGAAACTATGAATATTTTAACCCTTACCCTGCTGAACCCTAAAATGATTATCCTTTGCTTTCAGAATACAGCCAGGCCAGCCAGGGCACAAGATTGAAGAATACTGCCAAGCCAGCCAGAAAACAGCCAGGGAACAAGAATACTGCCATGCCAGCCAGAATACAGCCAGGGCACAAGAATACAGCCAGGGCAGCCAGAATATAGCCAGGGAACAAGAATACAGCCAGGGCAGCCAGAATACAGCCAGGGCACAAGATTGAAGAATACTGCCAGGCCAGCCAGAATACAGCCAGGGAACCAGAGTATAGCCAGGGAACAAGAATACAGCCAGGGCAGCCAGAATACAGCCAGGGCACAAGAATACAGCCAGGGAACCAGAGTATAGCCAGGGAACAAGAATACAGCCAGGGCAGCCAGAATACAGCCAGGCCACAAGAATACAGCCAGGGAACCAGAGTATAGCCAGGGAACAAGAATACAGCCAGGGCAGCCAGAATACAGCCAGCAGATCAGTGCAGTCTGATCAGGCTTCAACTGTTGGTAGCTATACTTTTGTATACTGATATTGAAATCCCGTTCATAATATAAGACAACAATATTGGTGACTCCACAGATACTCCCTGTATGATGTAGCTAATTTTAAAATCAAGGCTCAAGAATTATGACTATAATCTTAAATACATGACACTGTGTGAAGAAAAGTAAACATCTTTAATTGTATAACTAAAGTGACAATGATTCTATCAACCTCAGACTACATCAAAGTGTAGAGATCCATTTAGTTTATACAAATTTATTTTAGTGCGCTTATGTTGGCAGCTATAAGCTTATTGAAACACCCTCGAATCTGTTCCTGGAACCAACCAGTACTAAGTAATGAATGTAAAGTTTCTTGCTCGATTTGAAAAGATATGAAAAGTCATTGGATGAACTCTGGTCAGATCTTGAGTCAGTTGGGAAATGTTTAAAAGCTATATCTACATATGTCTGTTTTTCAACTTGTTCACTTACTATATTTTTTGTGTCAATATGGAGTGTAGAAAAAAGTTGAGAATTCCACAAAGATTTGGTCCACTGGTATGAGAGAGCCTCTGTTGTTTCCCGACCTTTGACCTGACCCCAAACATGAGAAGTGCTGAAAATAAGAAATGAAAAATGGTCATTGTTAATTTATTTGAAATCATATGCATATTTTAAGAATTAGGAAATGTTTCAAAATTTCATATTTTTCTCTACTTATAGTATGAAAACGAAAAACAAACACCAAGAAGCCATATTTTTAATGAAACCCCAACTTAAAATTATAAATTTTTCGTTAGAAGTTTACATACATTGTACCAGAAGATTGGATCTATGAGTTATCAAATATTCTCAACTTTAACACTATTATTACTATTATGCCTTCGAGCTCTAATCGGGTCACAACCATGTTTCTTCATATGACACCACAGTGATTTTTCTCACTTAATTGGGAAAAGGCCTTAGCCTCTTGATTTTGGGAAAAACTTGTTTCGCAATCGAGCTTAACTTTTTTACTTAATATGTTTAAACCAAACACTATTAGTACCTGTCAATATGTAAATCTTGTAATTCCCCGATGTTCATATCACATACTTCAAAGTCGGAAATCAGGGCAGGGAAACAAGTTGTCACCGCATATAATAATTTCTCATGTTTTGTCTGAAATATCAATATCATACAATATACTTGTACATTTATCCATACACCTGTAACAACAGTTAAATGTGTCAATTTACGTATGCATTTATTATAGACTTATTATAGTTTAAAGGAACTCCATAGAGGTCCAAAGGTCTTAAAATATAAAATTTTAATTTCTTATATAGATCAGCTGGGGCACTTTATACAATAAGGTATGCAAAAGATTATTAAGCAATATACTCAGAAATAAATTAGCTATTCTTATTTATTTAGTCCACTTTGAGCAAAATCATTAAAACGTTTTTCAATTTTGGGTCATTTTTCACAACTATAATAATTATTCTTGGTCTAGACCTGCATGTCACAAAATGGAGCATTTGCTGCATTAATCTTGAAAAATTATTTCTAGTCCATTCATATCAAAGAACCTCACTTGAGTTAATCTATGAAAAGCTGCATTATTTTAATGATTTTTTGCTCAAAGTGGACTAAAAAAATTAGAAACGCTAATCATGTTTATTATTGTTCTATCAATGAACGTTTAGATAATTAAAGTAGGTACCACAATTAACCCTTATGGTGTAACAAAAAACCAAAGAAAACATTTGATTATGTACCATATTGGCCAATTTTGATGATTCATCAATTTTATGCTGTGAAGGAACAGTCTCTGATACAGCTGGTGCACTATTGTCCCCTCCTTCAAAACCTGCCCAATCATCTTCCTCTTCATCAGCTTCAGCAACAGTCACAGTTTGTGGCTCTGAAAATGCTGCCCAATCATTTGTCTGCTCATTACTGTCAGATGTTCCGTCAAATGTTGCATTAAAGTCACCAAATTCATCAACAGGATCTGCTTTGCTGTCACTCTTTTCAGGAAAAGTTGTATTAAAATCACCAAATTCTTCATTATTTCCTTTCATTTCTGAATTATCTGAAATTGGTTTTGAATCAAAACTTGCATTAAAATCACCAAATTCTTCATTATTTTCTGCCATTTCTGGAGTATTTGAAATTGATTTTGAATCAAAGCTTGCGTTAAATTCTCCAAAATCTTCATCCTCATCTTGTACCTCAAAATTGTCATTATTTGACTTTGTTTCAGAACTTGCATTAAAGTCTCCAAATTCATCCGAAACTACCTCACAATTAGCTGAATCAATACCACTTCCTTCTACTTTTACAGATTTAACATCAGTGGCACTAAAGTCACCAAAGTCATCATTCTCTTCATTTATAATAGCTTCCTCTTTATTTTCTTTTACATTTATATCATTATTTTCATCTTTGTGGTGATGATTTGAGTTGTTATTATCACTAACTGGTATTTCTTGTAAATGGTCATCAGAGTTATCAACATCTACACTATCATCTTTAGTAAGATTTAAATCTTCAGCAGATTTTAAATTATTTTCAAAAGCACATTCATTGTTATGTGCCACTTGTTCTGTTATATTTCTATCTTCATCTGACTTTGAAATCACTTTGTGTTCATTTTCTGTCTCATCATGAATATCTTTCACATTTACACTTTCGGAATCACTTACATCTTCATCAGTAATTTCATTTGCACACTTATCTTCAACAGAACTTGACTCTTTGTGACTTAAATTAACATTTTCATCTTCATCATTTTTATCTGCATTGGTACACGTAGCTCCAATGGCATCTTCAACTGTATCCTCAGATGGTACAAGTTTACTTTCTATATCATCTTGTTGGTCCCTTAATTTATCATTCTCTATATGAACAGTTTCTAATTTTTCTGACTCTTGTTCTGTTCTTTGCAAATCATTATCACAACCAATCATTTGCTTATCCAATGGGGTCACATTTTCAGAGCTGAAATTTCCATAGTCTGAATTATTTCCTTCATTTTCTTCCTCTTCAGCATCTTGCCTTAAGTCAGGAATGTCTTCATTGAGATCTGTCCTATCTACATTTTGTTCATGACCAGATTCCTGATTAGAAATATTTGAGACTGAATGGGAATTATCACTGCTTGATAAACTGTTTACTGTATCTGAATCACAATTTGGTATCACAACATTAGCACTTGTATTTTTCCTATTTTCTACTGTCTCATTGTCAGTTATTACATTACCTGATATATGTATGTGGTCATTTTCAGGAATGTCTTTCGGTGGAATGCACTTAATAGAATCATCTTGAACTTCAGTAACACAAGTGTTTTCAGAATCATTAACAACATTGACATTTTCCTGAGTATCTGACACACTATCATCACAAGGTATTGTCATCCCTGCATCAGGCTTACTGTCTGAAATTTCATTTTCTTCTGAAGTCTTTTCTATCTTTTCTGATAAAGTACATGACAAGTCATGAAGAGGTTGACTTTCAGAGGTACTAGTACCATCAATATTGTTATGAAGATGATTTACACCTGAATTTTCTTCACATTGAACAGGTGATACATTGGAGCTATATACACCTGAATCTATTAATGGGCCATTTACATGATTGTTTATCTTGTTTGTAGTTGTGTCAGTAGTCTTTTTATCATCTGGTGAATTATGTGATATGTTAATTGATTCAGGTCTCTGATCATTCAACTGGGGTTTAGAGAATTGCATGTTGGCTGGATCTTCTTCATTACTCGGAAACATTGCAAAGTCAGCAAAATCATCTGCATTCTTTGAATGTGAATCTGAGTTTAAGTGATCTGGTATAGTGGTATCAGCTTTACCTGTAGTGTCTAAAAATATTAATCAAATTTTTAATTTTTGACAGTCAATAAATTTCCAATTGCAGTCACAACATTTAGGAGAAGAAAAGTGAAAGACTTTGGGGCTAATGGATGGTATTATCTACAAGATTAGGTTTTTAAAAACCCAAAAATGTTAAACTTTGGAAGTGGAAAGTAAAAATATTTACTGTTAACTTGTAATAAAATGTACTTATTCCCTGAATTGGGGAGAGATAAGTTGTATCAAATCTTTCCTTTTTAGAAACAAAGGTGACTGACCTATCATTTTTATATTCTTTTTCTAATTATTTTGAAAACTTTACAGGTCTGACCAAAATTCTTCTAGCCATGGGCTAGCAACTAAATAGCAGAATTCAATTGTTACAGAGGTAATGTACAATGTAAATGCATTAACTTTTGCTTAACACTGTAACATGCTTATTTACAGCATGTTAGCAACATTTACCTGAATGGGCAAAGCTATTGTCACTTGCTGAAGTGAATGTTCCAAAATCATCATCATCCTCCCACTCAAACCCGCCCCCTTCATCCATAGGAGGTGGTGATGATGACACCATTGGTATAATATTAGACATCTTGTTATATCTGAAATATAAAATTTACAACAGGTTTATACATTGTGAATCATCGTTGAATAATATAACAAGCTGTGAATATTAAAAGCTATTTCTGTTGCAATACAATGTTTATACATGTAGTCAGTGATTTTTCTCACTTAATTGGGAAGAGGCCTGAGCTTCTTGATTTTGGGAAAAATTATCGCTAAAATTGCTGATTTGGGAAGTAAAAAAGCTGGTTTAAGTTCAGATTTTTGGGAAAACTGCATGATTTTAAAGAAAATTTCAATTGAGAAGAGGCCTTTTTTCGGAGTCTGTTATATAAGTAGGAAATCACTGGTAGTATACCAAATGAATTAATTGTAGAAATAATTCTCATTGCCTTAGCGTAATATGCAAAGTACACATACTTGTTTTCACATTTGTAAATTATTTGGTAAAACTTTATTTTGCTAGGTCAGTTGTCTAACATACTATTCAACAGGGTGTTTATAATAATTTTATCTTAATTTAGTTCATTTACATTATTTTCCATTAGTGCCTGGTAATATAAAATAATCTTATTCTAAATATCATTTGCAAACACATTATAATACAAATTCTGTCAGCCATATTGCTAATATAATAACTTGCTCAACATGTATTTGATAAAATTGAAAACAAAAAATAAAACCCTGCATGCATTTAATTAAGACAGAATGATTGTCTAAAGGTCATTGCATAAATTGATGATTATCAATTATAACACAGCTAGATTTTTAATTTATGTTGCTTTTCGTTGGATTGTAGTGACACTTATACAGTTTTATATACAGAGCTACTATCAATTCATTAAGAAATCTTTTTTTTTAAAAAGGAAGTTTGCAGTATTTTAAACAAAAATAAAACAGCTTTAACATACTTTGCCAAATTTAAACCCGAAACAATTTAAACGATTCCGCCATTATGGTTTCCCACTATGTTTCTGCGGGGGGAATTAAAAAGATATATTAAAAAACCCCTAAACCTAACCCTGTGTGGGTTTTATACGGCCAAAAATGGCAGTTTCTAAGTGCATTGAAAAAAAAAATTTTAGCCGCAATGGGTTTTAAATTTCAAAGTACTGAATTTTTGTCAAAAGCCGATTTGAGGCTTTGCCACTCATTATTAAAATTAAAACTAGAAGTATTGTTTTGGGGGTTTTCACAACTTAATTTTAATTTCAGGGTTTCTACTAGGCATTTTTATTTAAGAGTCCCAGGGACTCGTGCTCATAAAATATGAGGGTCCCAGAGAAAAATATGAGGGGTCCTAAATCATTTTATTACTTTAAAAAAGTAAGGTGTTACTTATATATATTGTCTAGGGTATAATTCTTTACATTTATATAGCATTTGTTTCAACTACATATGCAATTTTTATTGACCTTTGTTAAAATAAAATAAAAATATACACCATTTATTATTTATTGTTACTTTTTCATTTCTTTCATTTGGCTGAATGTTTTGTGTAACTTGCATAAAGTCAAGATCTTTCACATGCTGGTCCGACTAATTTATCAAATTGTTTAACTGCATATACGTCTTGATGACGGACAAATGTATCTGCTATTTTGGAAGTTCAAACATCCATTTTCAGAGGCAAATGGATTACATTTTATGGTTGAGACGCAACGGCTGCATTTCATATCCGTGGTCGTCTCGTTTTGGACGAGCCACGGGTAAGTTAACTTAGCCACTTTTCATTAAAATTGGGGGAGCAGCCGACATGTTTTACGAATTATTTTATAACAAATAAAGTTTCCTTTTAAAAGGAAAGGCTTGCACAGTTGTGCCTTCATCCCAACCCTTTAAAAAAAATTTTTTTTTTTTTTTCAATTTATTATCACAATTTTTTTTGAATTACGGTATTTGAATATCATAAAGTGTTAACTTTATTTAGTTGTTTTTTTTTTGTAAAAACGAATATTTTTTGTCAAAACGATTTGAAATCTATTCTCTATTGTATAAAACTTATAAAGAAAATAATCAATCATAAAAATACTAACTATTCTATCATACTGAAAAGGAAACAAGTGTGGCACATTTCATTTCCAGAGAAATCATTCGTTTTGGCAGTTGCTAATTTCATTTATATAGGCATCTTTATGGACAAGTAAATGCACTAAAAATACTTCGTTAACGTGGTACCAATTAATAAGCATGTATCAACTATGTTTACACGACCACAGATACGATGCGCTAACGTGGTAAGGTTAATAATGATATGCATGGGCTATTTTTAGATTACCGTCACTGCGTTCATTAGATCTAAATATAACTCGATTCAATGCAATAATATTCTGTGTGATTTGGTAAGCAAGACCACCCATTTTTTTTTTTTTTTTTTTTATTTTTTTTTTTCTGGAGACGTAAACCATCCTCTATTGTATCAGGTATAGATATGTTAAAATATACGTACCTGATTGTAATAAAACTAATACAGACAAAAACAATTATAAAAGAAACTAACTTTTGGCGTCTTGAAAAAAGAATTGAAACGGAACAATTTCGTTATAATTTATTACGGTTTTAAACCGATAAATCAAGTAAAAATAGAAATCCTATTTATTTATCCGAAGTAAACTAAAATAGCTTAGATTTCCGTAATATTACTTCGTCTGATTCCGCAGTATGACGGAATCGCCCGAATTGTCACGATTGCAATCGGAACTACATCGGCTATAATCATTAAACCGAAGAGTGACGGAAAGGGCCAAAAAGTTGCGATTGGCACGATTGCAGCTGGTTTCTCGTTCAATCATGCACAAACAAATGTAAGCAGGAAACCACCTAACCGGAACAACTTTTCCAAAACAAATGGGCTTGCAGCCGTGCAGACTGGGGCGCTTTTTTAAGGTCGACTAAATTCTAGTGTGCGCCGTTTTTTTTCCGTATTAAACTGTAATTAATTGAAAGAAAGATAACTCTGCTTTATTCAATATTAGAACCCGTCTACCAAATTACGTCATTTCCTTTAAAGAAGCGGAAGGAATTTCCATATGATATTTACGGAGGAAAATTTAATTTGGTTTAAACAATATTTTTATTTCAGCAAATATATATATATACACAATATATTACAATAAAATGCAAAAAATTTAATTTGCGTCCCCATGGACGCACACTTAGAGTAAATGAGGGTCCTAGGTTACTATTTTTGCGTCACGGACGCAGGAAATGTGCGTCAATAGAAACCCTGAATATAATATTATTAGCTAACTTAACGGTAATGCAAGTACCTGCAAGAAAGTGATGGTTTAAACTTAAAGCACTTTCGCCGGAAGTACTGCAAATTTAGGGAAATTGACTAATCGCAACTTTTTTTATCAAAGATACGACAAAAGCTGAGGAATTCTAAGTGTAGTAATTGAAATCAGATGCTCAGACTGGTCTCCAGCGCACTTCTATGGGAACCATAATAGGACAAAGAACCAAAATAAATGGAAGCAGTGTATAGAATATCAAATGAAAATTTTAAAACAGAAAATGTGAAAAAGAAAAGATTATTTTATACTATTTCACTTTTGATGAGCGTCTACATAAATCAGACTATTGCTAGCAGACGCTTGCTAAATAACACTTCCGGTGAAAGAATGATGTATAAAATCAGAAATTAAACATTAAACAATTATAAATATAAAAAGTTACTTTAACATATCCTTTTTGACATATTAGCACATTAAAAAATATCGTTAAAACAACAACTGTGATTAGAGATTAACAAAAATGGTGGACAGGATTTTCCAAACGCAGACCCATACGCAGTGGTCCCCCTTTACGTTCGGAGATCAGACTTCCCGAAATACGTCGGTCCGACGGACATGTCCGATAAATTTTGATCAGGTCCGACGAGTTTTTATTCCGGATCGGTCCGACTGTCCGGCTTTTATCCAAGCCGCATGTATACAAAATGGCGTCGGCTAAAGGTGCCAAACCTTGGAAAAATAAAAAAATCTACGTCAGAGGAACAGGCAGAACAGCAGTAAAAGGATAAAAAGAAATAGACCTGAGACAAAATTTATGAAAATTCGAAGCGAGGGAGACAGTGGAAATCGTTAGGTGTTATGATAGGGAGGAGATGAAAATGCGCTGTACAGGAATGTGCCGATTTTTTACAGGCGAAAAAAATTAAAAACAAAAAGTTTCTTAGAAATGCAAACACAAGTTATTCTTTGATTTTGATCAATTTTAATTTGGTCCGACAGATTTGCCGTTTCGGTCCGAACAGATTTTCATGGGGTTTGTCAGACGCGAATGTCCTGAAGTTTGTTTTCCAACTTTCGGAGAAAGTCTGGGATGATTTTCCGGAATACTCTGAGTGCACCGATGATAGGTTGAACAACACCAATTTATTCGTTTTGTTTACGGTACAAAATACCTGCATGAAAGATCTGGTTTACATGCACATTAACATTATGCTAAAATTATAATTCATAAGAGCTTTCCACGTCATAGGTAGCACCTAATTTTATAGCAAGCTCGACGAGCTGGCCCGAAGGGCCTGCTTGCAAAGCGAGCTTTACGGTAACGCGAGTACCTGCTAAGTGATGGTTTTGAAAACTTTCGTCCGAAGTACTGAATTGGACACATCGCAAAGACTTTTCGAAATGTGTAAAAGATAAACGATAAAAACTGAGGAATTCTAAATTGAAACGGATGTGTTAGACATGGTCATTCGTGCACGTCTATGGGAACCATAATTGGACAAGGGAACCCAGAATAACGGAAGCTGTGTATAAAATATTGAATGAGAAGACAGTTTTTTAAAATGAAAAAATTGAAAGGCGCCATTTTGTTTGAAAAAATCTGAATAAATAAAAACCAACAATTTTTTTTGTCGAAATTTTGTTTGTGAAAACTAATCTAGAATAAAAAAGAAAAATGGTCTAACTAAGAAATGAATCCGAACACCAAATATCTTTTATTCAGTCGTTTGAACGCTGTAACAGGACGTTTAAAGTATTGTTTATGTGACTCACAAATGTAAAGGGCAAACAGCACGTGCAAAACAAAAACAAATCAAGTACGCTATTTTAATGTCGCAAACAGTTTTAAGTTTTACATTTATTCACTTATAATAATGCTTTATTTCGCTTGAAACGTTTCAAAATTCTCTCTTGTTTTTCATTTTAACGACAGGGGCGGAGCCATATTTAACACAGTAACGTAACGTCACACGCACTCGTCACTGCATTTGAGATTATTTCATACTATTTCACGTTAAAAGTACATCGAGCTAGCTTTGAGGCTTTGCCTTTTTCATATTAGTGAGCTCGACGAGCTGGCCCGAAGGGCCTGCTCGCAAAGCGAGCGTTACGGTAACGAGAGTCCCTGCTAGATGATGGTTTTGAAAACTTTTGTCAGAAGTACCAAATTGACACATTGCAACTTTTCGAATTACAAGATAACGATAAAAGCCGATTTACTCTGATTGAAAAGGGAAGTGTAGACTGGTGTCCTGCGCACTTATATGAGAATCATAATAGAGCAAACAGGACGTTTCGGCCCCAAACCAAATCGGCCCCAGTCGAAAAATCGGCCCCTGGACGTTTCGGCCCTTTTCCGCGAGACGTTTCGGCCCCACTATAGTGTATTGCCTTGAATTGATTAACAACAATAATTAAATTACAATTAAACAAATTAATGAAATAATTCTTTGAATAATTATTTATTAATCCTTATGATATCTTGAACCATTTAGATATTAACGTAATGTTTTTAAAAGGTGTTACAACAACAATAAGGCCGTTTACTTACCTATAGAAACAAACACTAAAACTTCTTGATTAAAAGTTACTTACAATTTTTCGCTTTAGAAACATTATATTTGAATCTTAATTAAACTATAACGGTAATTCTTCAAAGTGTAACTAATTAACTGTTTAAAATAACTTTTATGCTTATTGGCCAGTATTTGTTTTTGTGTCTTGCTTCTAAAATCATTCAAATACAATATCTCTATAATAGTGGTTTATAATTTTTTGTGTGTGTGTATTATATTTTTACAAAATAAAGTTTATGTTCTGTTTCTGTTTTGTATTGATTACTTTCCCCCTACTACTCATAATAATCTAGTTTTATACTAAATATTAAATATATATATTAATTGATTAATTTTTTTATTGAAATGCTATTAATATATCGGTTTAGAATACATTACTTATTCTGGGGCCGATTTGGTAAAGGGCCGAAACGTCTTGGGTAGTTTGGGGCCGATACGTCTTGGGGCCGAAACGTCTCGAAATCATAATAGAAAGGGGGAACCAGAATAAACAGAAGCAGTGTTTAAATACCGAATAACAATTTTTAAACGGAAAATGTAAAATAAAAATTATTTTACGGTTTAAGAAAATCGAGCTCGCTTTGAGGCTTTGCCTTTTTCATATTATTATTAACAATTGACATTTACTCTTATTCTATATATATATATTATCTATATTATCTGTTTTTGTCCTCCGTTTTTCTAAGATAAACAGGTAAATGTATCTTTGAGGTCACACCCTCAAAATTATCATGATTAATTAATCCAAGTATCAATCTTTGTCATACAGCTGGCAAACGCATTAAGTGCAAAACAATAAGATTTAAATAACTTATAAATAAAGGTTAAATTTACCACAATGTCTGGACTTCTTTAATCATGTTTTGACAGAAATGTTAATGCCAAATTTTCAGGAAGTGAAACGTTTGACGAATATGTATAAGATATTGGCGAATTATGCATTGAAGCGTTATCGTCTATCGGTATAACAACACTATAATTTTATTTGATTGATTAAATGAAGGTCAGGACGAAATCAAGAACAACCTAGTGGTTCTATGTATGTTCTGTTTTGTAATCTACAAAGACTATAAAATGTCTATTAATGTATGTAAAACATCAGCTTTACATCGTGTACAGATATAATATATTTAGTGGTGTTCTTAACTGAAATTCAATTATGACGACGTAAGATTTATATAGATTGACCGCTCTGTGTTGGTTAGACGATAAAAATTGTAAAAAATTCAAGCGTCTGTGATACACAAACAAAGATCATTTGCGTTTGTGGTGTTTGCGAATTGGATCTCCAGCATGATTAAATTATGCTTATTGTTCTTGATGGGGTTTTCATTTGTGTTGCCAGCACTTTCACATGGTAATTGATCACCCTTTGCACCGCTTTCTTTTTCACTCAGAAAGATTTTGACTTCCCCGAACTCAACATAGGTGAAGTAAGGTCTCCATAGACTAAAACACACATTGGAAATGAGCAGAGAAGATCAAATAAGTGGTCAATCTTGAAGCACTATTGGCATACTTCACTCTCTAAAATATCTGTTAAATAGAACTTTAGAAACTTTGTATCCCACTTGAATAAGATCATCATGATTATCGGGTTGCTATCTCCACTTCAGTTTCCTGCATGTCAAGCCACATCCATCCCCTGTGTATAAGGATTTATGGTGATGTCAAAGACCAGGTCCGTGAAGCAGGCTACATGTGTATATTTAAAAGGAAATGAAATAGAAAACAATTAAAAATATAAAGATTTCCTTACCTAGAAGTGAAATTTTCAGTGTAACATATTTAGTTGGGCCACGGATTTATATTACAGGGATCGGACACTCCCAGTTAACCGTAGAATATGAAATTAGGTGCTACCTATGGCGCGGAAAGATCTTATGAATTATGATTTTAGCATAACATGTTTAGTGTACATGTAAACCAGATCTTTCTTGCAGGTTTTTTGTACCATAAACAAAACGAATAATTTGGTGGTGTTCAACCTATCATTTGAGCGATCGGAATATTCCGAAAATATCCGAACGCAAAGGGGGACCACTGCCCATGCGTCGGCGTTCGGAAAATCCCGTCCGCCATTTTGTTAATCTCTAATCACAGTTTTGGTTTTAACGTTATTTTTAATGTGCTGATTTATCAAAAAGGATATGTTCAAGTAACTTTTTATATTTATAATCGTTACTATAATTCTTATAAATGAAATGTAGGTTTATTTTATGATTTTGTACATAATTCTTTCACCGGAAGTGTTACTTAGCAGACGCTAGCAATAGTCTGAATTATGAAGACGCTCATTAAAAGCGCACTGATATCTATATTTAGCACAAAAGGATTTCAAAATGGCGGCGCCCATTAACTAAGGATTTTTTCACAGCTCATTAGGTGTAGGATATATATTTTTTGAAATTTTCATTTAGTTTAAATTTGATTTCATTTCAAATGATACACGTCATACATGTTATCTAAGAGCACTACAGCCCTCGCGGGTTCTTCGGCCCCGCTCGGACTTCTGCGTATAAATGCTTAAATATCTTGTCGTGCACCCGATAAAGGTACATCGATCGATAATTTATCGGCGCTAAGCGAAAATGCCCCGTTCGCAACGATCCTACTTTACAAAATACATATAGGCTTTTCCATTTATATCCGATTTTTGAAATTTAAAGTTTATTTTTCAAGAAAATGCTTGTTTATTCAATATCTATTATTTTTTTAAGATTAGACTATCTTGTCTGCCAACCGATTTAGAAATTAATGACGAAATCTGCGGTAAATTTACATTTTTTTTATTCCAGATATTTGAAATTTATTATTACGGTAAACATAATACATTCAATTTCAAAAATAAAGAAGCCAATGGAAGTTATTCACAGTTGATCAAAGATGCAATATTTAGATTTATTTGGTTATTAGTAAATTAATTGGACGCACAATTGTTTTACGGGTTAAATGTACTGCGGGCCTTTACATTTCGCTCAACACGTAAAGTAAATTTATTCATTTTTTTGATACAAGATACTGCTGATATTGTCAATACATGTATTGGCCATTTTCATAGGATATTTAAATTTTCTTCATCATTTATATCATTATTATTTTTTTTTGTAAATCTGTTTTTAGATCCAAATGTTGGGTGCAGTGAAGTAGACAATCATGTAACAGTAAAGTACTCTCGTGTGGCCTGTCTCCGATTCCGGCCTTTTAAATGTCACTCGTATATTTTTAATTATTTCACTCGTATATTTTTAATTATTCTTTTTATTTTAATGACCTGTAGAAAGATATTTCTGATATTTTTTAAATGTAACGCTAAAAAACAATAAAATATCTTTACAGTTTTTGAGTCAGTATATGCGAATATAAAAGTAACTGTTGATTATATTTTTACACATCGCTTAAATTTTTTGAAGTTAATTACTTTTTGAAAGGGGGTTGAATGTACCAGGTAAACAAGTGATAATTGACAAACTTTATTTTCAAACTTTCATTATCAGGTTACATGTGATAATTTACAACCTCAATCTTTAAAAAAATAGAAATTTGAATGTATATGTTGTATAGTGCGCGTTCTTAACTACAGTCCATGGCATGTGGTGGTAAGAAAATGAATTCTGAATAGGATATATATAATACAATGTAAATCTATTCTTTTTATTAACATTATAAATGAAATTGAAAATAAACAACTTAATTTTAATAGCCTTTCTTTGAAAGATAATGAAAATAACACATATGACAAATAATCATTAACAGTGAATTGTGAAAAGGATAACTAATGAAAAAAATCTGTTTCAAAAAAATAATAATTATAAAACAGCTGTCTGTATGCAATAAAAGTTTTCTTTCCCTTGCCAATCTAATGAATTCATCTATGTATGAACGAATGTCTGAGAATGATCTGAAATATATTTAATACACTTAATTAGTAGAATATTTACTATATTTTATACTAATATACAGGTAGATCAAATAAAAATGTTACAAATCATTTGGAAATAATTCACAGAAGTAAAGACACATTTCAAATATGAATTTCTTTAAACAAGAATTATTTTTTTGCAATGGCCACCATTAAACCCGTGTATAATTAATTATCTTAATTCTGAATCACGGTAAATAATTAATGCTTGACGTAAAAAAGGGCCGTCAAAAGTGTAGAGGTATGCCTGAAACAATAGGCGAATATTTTTTAAATTAGGTGCTTTTTAACTAAGCGTCTCAGCGTTCTATCGGCATATTTTCATATATTAATACTTTAGCTGCACAAAATAATACTGTATCAATACATTCATATGTGTATAATTTTTCACAAAGCTGCAATAACACCACATACTCTTGTGAAAATATGTCTATTTCACACTCTGAGCGTTCCGCCATCTCATTCTGTCCACCTTTATCCGATTCCGCGCATGCGCGCGACGGGACTTTGAGCTAAACGAAAGTGTCCGATCCTTGTAATATAAATCCGTGGTTGGGCACTGCCATTTTCAAAATAACTCAATGATAATAGGCAGGGTATTCTGATAATGGAACAATCACAACTTTTCAGATTAATAATAATCTTTGTCGTGTTCTGAGTGAAAACGTAAGGCAAAGCTGAAGCAGTACATGAAGTAACAAATGAAACCTTTAAAAAGGAAAATGTAAAATAAAAAAATGAACAATTCTTTTAACTGACTTCCCTGTTGATAGGCTTTGCCTAATTTCATACAGGGAAGTCAAAGGCCTTTGGCTTGCCCGGCTATAGACTACACATATATTTAAAAGAAAATGAAATTAATAAACAATTAAAGACTATATAGAATTTTATACCTATCAGTGTCAGTTCTAGTCTGGCGGCGCCATTTTCAACGTAATTCAATGATAATTGGAGGGGCATTCGGATAATGAACAATCGCAACTTTTCGGTTACTAATAATCGTCGAGTATTCCAAGTGCAAACCGGAACCCGTGCATGAAATACCAAATGACTTTAAAACATAATTTCATATTATTAGGTAATTTATGCAGGAAAGTTTTTAGTCCTGGGCTTAGGTTTGCCCAGCTATAGACTACATTTGTATACTTAAAAGGACATCAAATAAAAAACAATTAAAAAAAAATGAATTCTATATCTATCAATGAAATTTTCAGTGTCAGTTCTAGTTGGGCGCTGCCATTTTCAATGTAACTCATTGATAATTGCTGGGGTAGTCCGATAACGGAACAATCACAACTTTTTATCTTAAGAAAAATAGTTGAGGTGTTCCGATTGAAAACAGAAGCGGTGCATGAAATACCAAATGACACCTTAAAAAACAAAAACTGTTAAATAAAAATGAACACATTTTTTTTATATCTGACTTCCCCATTCATAGGCTTTGTCTTAACTTTCATATTAGTAACATATATCACATTTTGCATGGTTTATGTGGGCCAGTAAGAAACAAGGGTAGTACCGGTACTGATTCAGATTGTATAAAAACATTTTGTCCTTATTTTCTATGAAATGCATTGACTATTCTGATTCTAAGAAGGTTGAAGTAAATAATGGGGTTTGAAGTTGAACATTTTTGTAAATTTAGCAAAACTTTGAATATTTTCAACAACTTTCATGCAGCTCTGACATTGTGGTAATATTTCAAGATGACTGGCTTAAGGTATAAGTATACTAAATTTTTTAAAAAATAAAAAAATGAATGATATACATGTAATTTCAGATATCAAGTGGATATGGCTAGCTGGATCAGAAGGATCAAGTGAAGTAACAACACCAACAAATCCTGGTGGAAGGAGTGGGGCTGCCTCAGCATCCTACTGGGAACAGGAATTCTTCAAAGTATAAAAACTCTCAGATACTAATTATTCTACTGCACATACATGTTTGTTTTTAGCTCAACTATTCGAAAAATAGGGAGAGCTATTGTATTCACCCAGACAGAGGCAGACTTTTTAATTTTTTGTGTGCTCCAAAACTATTGAAGGGAATGGGTTAAAACTTCACACACTTGTTCTCTGTGAGTTAACTTTTAATTGAGTTATGTCAAACACTAAGAATAGTGGAGTGCCCTGAAAGCAGCATGCCTCCAGATTCATGCTTATTTCATGAAAATTTTGAAAATGTATTTAATACTAAAATTTTTTGAAGTGAACTGGCACTTACTATCCACCTGAATTACCCAAAAGATGTCAAAATATACATAATTACCTCTTACTGTTTTAGTATCGTAGAAGAATTATGGTGGTTGATAATGCAAAATCAGTCATTAATCGTACATAAGATGTAAATAATTAATTAAATATTGAATCTTTTTACATTTCTTAAGATCTTAATACATTTTTCTAAAGATTGAATTTCTTGAAATATTTTGGCTCATATGGAGGCGTACAGCTTTAAGACTACTCTTGTTTTTTTTTTATACATACTTGTAAATTATGTTTTTGCATCTTCTGTTTGTTAAAAATTTCAAATGTTATTCATTGCCTTTGAAATTACATTTCATAATTCTGATTTTGCAAAAGTAAAGACTATTTTTTAAGGAAATTGGACTTTTGCATCATATCATTCTAGTTTAAACTTGTAACAGGAAATATTCAAGGTATTTTTCTTCTTTCAGGCTGTCTGGTTGTTTGGTGGAGAGTTTCATGTTGATAATAGTAAACCAGGTTTAAAGAATGACCTTTGGAAGTACAGTATGTTATCACAGTCGTGGAGCATGATTCACAATGGTACAGGAGAGAAGATTTTAGAAATTCCAATTCGTCGTCAATTAGCTGCTTCTTGTTCGTTGACAGAAACTTATTTTGTATTATACGGCGGGCTTGGTCCGGGTGAGAAAGTATTAAACGACACCTGGATTTTCTATGCAAAAGATAGTAAGTGGTACACTTTAGAAGATTTTCGTATCAAAGTTGGTGCCAGTAATATGTCTGGTAATAGTTGGCCTGGTGCTCGCGGAGATATGTCAGTATGGTGTACTGATGAGTACATGTATGTTTTTGGTGGCTTTAATGAAGATAATGGGCTGCATCATGATTTATGGAAATTTAGTTTATCAACATTGTCTTGGACTGAAGCAAAATCATCAGCAGAGCTTCCAGCTGATCATGAATTTGTGAAGCATCTAAATTATCCTAGCGGTAGATCAGGGGCCACAACTTGGGTATCAGGTGATAAACTCTTCATGTTTGGTGGGAACATTATGGCAAATAATCTGCGATCAAAGCATATGATGGTAGGAAACACTGGTGATCTTTGGGAATATGATATAAATGAAGATTTATGGTCATATCATGTTGGTTCAAGGAAAGTTTGCAATACAGCTGCGAAATACGGGGAGCTTGGGTCAGCTTCTATTCTTAACTTACCTGGCTGCAGGAGACGAGCTGCTGCATGGACTGACGTGGAGGGTAATTTATGGATGTTTGGAGGGGACGGTATAGACAACTCTCAAGCTTCTTTATCAGTATTTTCTCATTCTAAACTACTGTCTGACATTTGGTTTTATGATGTAGCAACTAGTATGTGGACCTGGAAAGGAGGTGAGAAATTAGGTGATCAAAAAGGAAAATTTGGAAAGAGAGGTCAAAGTTCAGAAGATAACCTTCCAGGATCAAGATGTGAGAGTGTAGCTTGGGAGATGGAAAATTATTTCTATTTATTTGGGGGAGTTGGACATGATGCACATGGAAAAGATGGTTATCTCAATGATATATGGCAATTGGATGTTCACCTAGACCAGTCTGTGTACCGTAATGCCCCGACTGCTGGACCTGTGTTTGCTATGATTTTCTTCAGCTTAGGACTGGTCATCTTTGTATCCGTATTATATCTATTTAGTAGAAGATATTTCCAGGTAAAGCCAGGCTCTAGTCGTGTTAGCTACAGTAGAATACCTCAAGACCAAGATAGTTAGGAAATAGTTAAAACATTAGATGAATTTTATGTTAATAGCTGATAAATACATGAAGACATACTCTCTTAAAACAATTGTGATAAACCTGGTTTATGTTTTGGTAGTTACACCTTAAGGGGTCACATGTATGTTGAACAAAACAATTTAGTATTGCCTAATTGTTTACTAGTACATAAATAATAAACCAGATTTATAGGTAGTTAATTTGATTTTTGCAGTTTCATTTGTATGTTTTGTTCATTTTTTTGTATGAATATTTCTTAAGGTACACTATACAGTACAATAGGATTCTTGTATGTTTATAATGTAGTGTTTCTAACCTTGTTGGGGGCCTCAATGGTCAGGTGGTAAAGATCTTCTCTGACTATATCACTTGGTTTTCACTGATCTGGGCTCAAATCCCATCTGTAACTTCTTTCATGTGAGGAAAATTTCCAGCTAGGTTATGAAAGATTGATGGTTCTACTCATGGGCCCAAATGTGCCTGAAGTAATCTAGGAAGGGGTACCAGTGGTCTTTCTCCATCAGAAAAGCCGGAAAGTAGCTACATACATATGAACTTTACAGTATTGGTGTTACTTAAAACTTAACATAACTTCATGTAATTGCCAAATGACAAAAAATGAACAAAGTTTAGGTATAAGAATAACAACTAATATTGATATGGTACCTATAATAGTTATCTTGAGTAAAATACATTATTTAAGAGTTTGCTATATTGAACATACAACATGAAACAGAAGCTTAAAATGAAATCACATGATGATAATTTGTAATTATCTCCCTTTATCTATTTTTGTGGTAATGCAACCAAGATAGGATTATGAAACAAAAATTCTGTGGTAACAAGCAGTTTTTAACCTAGAAAGGTGAGTGAGGAATGTTTGTTTT